GAAGCTTGGCAGCATAGCTGGGGGAAGGGAGGGGAGGAGGAGCTGCAGAATTGCAGGGATGGGGACATACAAAAGAGCACATGCCTATTAACAGAAATAAAGGAAGCGCCAGAGCAGGGTTGGGGGAACCTGTGGCCTGCTAGGTTTGTTGGACTACAACTCCCATCATTCCTAACAATTCTCCATGCTGGCTGGGGCTGATGGAAGTTGCAGTCGAACGACACTTGGTGGGCCTTGGCTGCCCAACTTTGCACTAGAGAAAGAAAACGAAAGAGAAAAGCAGAAGAAGAGACTGCAACTCAGTTCAGGCATCCCAAAGCAAAACACACACACACACACACACACACATGCACACACAACCAGCCCCAGATGCCCATTTGGAGAGACTTGATCTCATACCTTGCTTGCTACCAAGCCACTCCTGATACGAGGCAGCTCCAGGTCCGCTGAGTTCTACAGACAAAACAAAAAGTTCTGTTCACAATCAAACACTTTTAACAGAAATCTCTCTTTCACCTAGGCAAAAGGGGGTTATTTCATGGATCTGAGTCTGCCTCTGCCCCTTCATTTCTTGAAAGAGGTGGGGGTCTAACTAACAAAATGGGCAGCAAATTTGGCTAGCTAGTGAGTGGTCCCTATCGTTAACATTTATTACATTTCTATCCTGCCTTTCTTCCACAGAGGTCAAATAAGTATACACAGGATTTCCAGGCGTTCTCTTATTTAAGCACTGACCAGACATACACCAGCTGGATTCAGCATAGTTGCTGTGCCTTCAATACTACAAAAGGTCAAACATAGGGTTTGAAAAGGCTTCCAAGATGTATTAAGTCAGTGCAATGACTTCTGTGAAGATACCACAAAGAAGTTGACTGGACTAACCAATGGGCTATGGATTCTCTTAAGAGTAGGAAAAGGGCTGGCCAATGTGGTGCCCCCAGCTGTTGTTGGACTCTGACACCAATCAGCCCCAGCCAGCATAGCCAATGATCATGGACATGGGAATTGTAGTCTAACAGCATCTGGAGGGCACCACCATGACTACACCTTGAGTTGGTGGTAGGGCCCTGGTCCCATTTGCTGGCACAGTGAGGTTTCCTTTAGGAACACAGATCATTGGTTCATCTAGCTCTGTACTGTCCATACATAATGGTAGTTGACTTTTTGTGCAGAGAAGTGGCTTTTGGCAATCCCTTCATTAGGCTGTTATAAATTCTCCACTGCTCATTGTATGGGTAGCTAGAATGGGGGTGGGGGGATTTTGAGAGGATCCACAACAGCAACAGCAATATCTTTTACCTACAGCAATGCAATGTTCTTCAATCTTGGGTCCCCAGATATTATTGAACTACAACTCCCACCATCCCCAGCCAGCTTAGCCAATGGTCAGGGATGATGAACACTGGCCTAGAGAGTGGACATTTTCTATTGCCCCCTGCTCAGGCCTTCAGCAGTCATCCCGGTCACCAGGAAGAACCAAGAGGCGCGGTTTGTCTAGTTGCCTTTCCATTCATTTTAATATTTCATTTTAATATTAATTAAAGCAAGGGAAAGAGTTTTGTTGTTTTTTTTTAAAAAAGGGGGCATGTTGCAATCTGCCATAGAAATTTGCTGTTGTAAGTTTATGTTGTAGTTTATCTGGGTCTGAATTAACTTCTGTTGACATTATCTTGCTACTGCTAAAATGTGTTTCGTGATGGTCTGACAACTAGATAAAAACAAATGAATCGGCTCTGCTTAAACGGCCTTAAAAGAGTCACCATTTCAAGGTGAATCTGCAAGTATTTGTTTTAAAAGTACAGGCATGGAGAGAAGTTCCTCTTTATGCATAAAGACTTTTAATGAAACGTTTGACAGCTTTGCCTTAACTTGACTCTGCTCTAACACAGGGCATACTAGAAGCCAATGTCAATGATAAAAGTGGCCCAACACAATATTCAGTACACCAGTTAAGTAAAATAGGAATCACAGATGACAAAGAAAGAAATTACAATGCAACTCAATGGATGTGAATATTTTTCCATTATCTCAGTGCACTCTGAATGAATCCCAAGAAACTGTCAGGTTGATAAGTCAATATTACAATGGCTTTAGAAAGGGTAAAGGGTTGAAAAGAGGTGCTATTGGGTGCCGCAGAGTCAGATCAAAGAAGATGAGGGATGAGAAAAACAAAAAATAATAATGGTGAGTTTAAGTGAAATGAGATGTCTAAGCATATATTTCCCTATTGCAGAAGCGGGTACATTGTACCTTAGAGGGTGCAAAATGATTATTTAGCTAGTGATAAAAGATAGTGAGATAAGGTTAGCACATTTGAAGATGCCTTATACAGAGTCCATTTAGCTCAGTATTATTATATGAACTGCTTTCCACAAATTCAAACCAGTGTATTTCCCAGTCCTACCTAAAGCGGCTGGGGATTGTACCTGTGGCTTTTAACAAGCAAAGCATATTATTATTAGGTTTGTTACCCGCCCTTCCATGGGCAGGTTACAATAATATAAAATACTGCATTAAAAACAGTTTAAGGCAATTAAAGCCACTGCCATAACCGGCCCACTTGATTGAACAATACAGTAGTCACATATCTGTGATTAGATAAATATTGCTAAAGCCCCAGCTGGTCTATTCTTTTTAAATTACCGTTTTTCGCTCTATAGGATGCACCCGACCTTAGGACGCACCTTGTTTTAGAGGGGGAGAACAAGAGAAAAAAAAAATCTCCCCCTCTCTGGTCAACGTCCCTTCAGTGAAGTGGCAGGAGAAACGGAGCCCCTTCCATTTCTCCTCCCGCTTCGCTGAAGGGGTGCTGCGCAGCTCTCCCTCTCTGCTGAAGCCAGGAGAGTCTTGCTCTCCTGGCTTCAGCAAAAGGAACCCGAAGCCTCCGGAGCGGAGAGGGAACTCACGCTGCGCTCCGAAGGCTTCAGGCAGCTATCCCTGAAGCCTGGAGAGCGAGAGGGGTCGGTGCGCACCAACCCCTCTTGCTCTCCAGGCTTCAGCGAAAGCAACGCAAGGCCTCTGGAGCACGGAGGGAGCGCTCCCTCTGCACTTTGGAGGCTTCGCGTTGCTATCGCTGAAGCCAAGGAGCCTGCATTCGCTCCACAGGACGCACACGCATTTCCCCTTAATTTTTGGAGGGGGAAAAGTGTGTGCTATAGAGCGAAAAATACGGTATACTTTAAAAATATTTTTTAAATTAGTGTTTTTTATTTTTCATTCTTTTAATAATAATAATAATAATAATAATAATAATAATGTTCTATCCTTACAACCGGTGCTCTGGTTTTGATTTGCTTATATAAAATTATGATTTTGCAGATTCAATTTTGTTTTTATGCTGAACAGTGGTTATGAACATAGGACAGAGATCACCAAGGAAGAAGACTAAGGGCAAAAGGCATCTGGGTTCTCTCGATATTTCCTGAGTTATAATTGTCTATACTGCTGACATTTCGTCAGCATACACTGCTGTTGCTCTGAAACAAACTACTCCACATTGTTTCGTTTTTAATTTCCATTTGAGCCTATGTAATGTTCATTTATGCATCAAGCTGTTTATGTCAGCTTGTAAGAGTTAACTTTGGGATCCTCCTTTTCGTCACACATCCCCTAAGCCTCTCCTTGCAAATGCCTTCCTAGGCTCTTTCTCTGCCTTCGCCCAGCAAACAGCTGCCAATGGCTCCTGGCAGCAAGCAAGCCCAATTGAATTTTAAAAGATTTTCCATTCTACTGCACTATTTAGCGAGCACAGAAAGGAGGTTGGGGTGGGGGATGGAACTCTGTGTTGCTTCACCATTTATGTTGTGTAAATCTGAGATAACAGATCTTCTGCCTAATCCTAATGAGGCCTCCCCATTAAAATCTTTATTAGCTTCCAGCACAGTGGATTGCCAAAAAGCTTGTCAGTCCCGTCTGTCCCGTCCCCTCCCCCCCATCCTACTATCTCTCTGTACCAAGATCTGCTTTAACTTTTACAAATAGCTCTAAGATATTTCCCCTGCTTATCAGCATTGCCAAGCAGCTTGCCTTATCACTGCTATTGCAGATAAAATAAATGAGCTACGAATGATATGAATAATGGCATTTTCTGTAGGCTGGTTTCCCATTACATTCTCAACAGATTGTAGATTTAAACTTCAGCACAAAAGAGGCAAGGAGGAGAAAGAGAAGGTTCCCCCCACCACCGCCAAATTACCTTCCTTTTGCTCAACAGCCTCAGATTCCTGGATGTATTTTAAGCCTACCTGAACTGAGGAGGCAATTAATTTTGAAAGGGACAAGAAGAAAGACAAGGTTCGGCTTCTCAGAAAATCCCCAGGACTAGCTGTTCTGTGACTTTTAGAGGGTTGCTGCATTCGGCGGGGTGGGGGGGGCGCTTTAAGGCTACACAGGGGCTAATAAAGCTGTCTTCATTAGACATCCTTCCCCCCACCCCACCCGCTAGCTGTGTACAAGCCTGGAATCAGAAGAGGACAATGGACTCATGGAAAAGGAAGCAAAGACTGGATGCAGAATAATACATCTCTTGCTACCAATGCACACCTGATCAGATTTTGCCAGATGTGGTACATTAGCAGCGTAGGGAGGGCCACAGAAAAAGGGTGAGAACAGTAAGGAAGGGATGGGTAACCTGTTTCATGCCAGTGGTGGGTCGGACCAAAAGTCAGTGGGGTAATTAATGGAAATTTTACCTTTGCAAAGAAGTAGGCTAGTTTCTAAACTGGTCAGAGTTCAAGGACACAGTCCTGCCAGGCAAAAACTGTGGAGGTTTGTGCGAAGCAGGGCCAGTGAGGTGTGTGGCCTGGGGGAAAAGAGGGTGTGGCCTGAGGGGGTGTGGCCTGGCAAGTTTTTCCAGGGCCAGAGGTCTGGAATGGTCTGAGGTTCCCCACGTCTGCAGTGAGAGATCAGAAAGTCCTACTGGTACAACAGGTAAATTGATGGACTTGGATGAGGAAGCCAGAGCTGGCAAACCTCGCCCTGCAATATACAACTGGGGAAGGCCTTTAGCTCAGTGACAGAGTGTCTGCCTTGCAAAGCAGAAAGTCCTAGGTTTAATACCTGGCATGCTGGAAGTGTGCCCTGCCTGAAACCCTAGAGAGCTGCTGCCAGTCAGTGTAGACAATACTGAACTAGATGGATCAGTGGTTTGACTCAGTGTAAGGCACCTTCCTATATTCAACTTGGGCATGTCCTTTGCTGCATTACTACTTTTGTACTGAGACCAAATGAAGTCAATGAGAGAAACTGCTACAGAAATACAGTAGTAAAATATCTTCTAAAGGGGTAGATGATTCTTTACCGCAGTAGAGATGACATCCTCAGGGCTGTGATGTAAATAAGTGGTGGTGGTGGTGGGGTTGTCAGCATGTTCTGGCTTACAACAGTGGTTTCTAACAGCAGCTGCCATATTCATTTTCCTCTCTCATAATCCTATTATTTTAAATTGCTAATGCACCACTCCCATGATGGAACTCAAAGCAGTGTACATGAAGGTTCCCTGGTAGTGTCCTACTCAAGCACTGGCCAGGTCCAGACCTGCTTAGCTTCAGTTTGCTGCATCATATATCTTCAGGCTATACCCTGGGATGACTCACACTTATTCCTCCCTGCTTGTGGATTATGTTAAGATGCTTCTGTACACTGGAGTGTATGAAAAGCTCTACAGTGTGATGATAACATGCACACATAATCCAGGAGCTGAGAAGCAATGCCTATTATCATGGAGGTTTAGACAGCGGAAGGTGGTCGGTTAGGACACACGCAGCACTGCCCTACCAATCTCAACCTGTCCCCACCGACCTGCTTTCCTACTTACAATTTTATTTATTGCATTTATATCCCACCTTTTCTCCAAAGAGCTCAAAGTGGCACACATGCTTCCTCATTTAGGTCACCCAGCAAGCTTCATGGGTGAGCAGGAATTCAAACCATTGTCTCCCAGACCACAGTCCAATACTCTACCCTTTACACTACTGACTCTCAAAACGAACTCAACTTACAACCAACCCTATCAGCTCCTTCATCTTTAGCTCCTCTTTGCTCAACAAGGAAGGAGACAAAATTGGAACTAGTTGGCTCTGTCTAACATTCATGGTCTGTGGTTGTGCTTATCATTGTCTCTGGCTCCAGCTACTGTTGACCTCCCTGCCTTCCACTCTAAAAGACCCAATGGTCACCAGCCACCACTGGATTTAGATTTTGAGTCATATCAACCATCACTATTTCCCACTTGCTCATCCATGCTTATCCTGCTAATATCAGTACACAAGACAGCTGGGGGTTCAGCTGTGCCAATAGCTGCCAACCACAAAAGCACCACAGTCACTATCCGGAAACATCCTTAAACTCTTCCACTGAACTGAGCAGACCCAGGGAGATGACAGCAACTGATTAAAATTTAATAGTAATTTAATTCACTGACAGAGGGCAAAGTGTGTAAAGAGAAATACTCAGACACAGTAAGAAAGGGTGCAGAAGGTAATCAATATCCAAGTCTTCCCCACCAACACCCTCCTCCATCTCCCATCTCTGTCCTAGGGGCTGGATCCAACATTCTGTTGTGAGTAGAAGGCAGGTGAGTTTTAATGATGTGCAACAGAGGAATCCAACAGAACAGCTGTGCTAGGTGAAACTTGTTGTGCAACTGATTGCACAATCTATTGTGCAATCCAGAAACCTGCTTATGCATTTCCTGGTGCAGCCATGTTCTGTTGGTGCAAAATATTTCACCAGCAGAACAGGATAAAGTTACTCTTACTTTGCACTATATTGGATACAACCCTAGGACCAGAGTTTGGGGCATGAACCCCACTGAAACCAACAGGACTTGTTTTGGTTGGATGGACCAAAAAAACCCCTGGCCAGACAGGGGGATGGAAATGTAAAACTCAGCAACACCTGTCTTGTATTTTCTGGACACTTAGATCTACTTGATACATGTAGCGATGAGTAACCCACCATTTGCTGACTGCCATACTATGAACTCCTTGGTTCCATCATGTTACAAAAGTGTATCTACAACATTTGACAGAGTCAAGCGAAAATGGTCTTCTCTCACTAACCTTTTTTTTTTTTTTTTTGGCCTTCTGCTACCAGCACAGCAGGGTTAAATGATTTTCCATTCCCCCACAATCCTAGCCCTGTCACTGTATCAAGGTTATCTATTATTGGCAGTGACAGGTGAAAATTAATCTCCTAATTATTTCTTGCTGCGTAATCTCCACTGAAGAAGTAACATAAAAGGATTACAGTGCAGCCTTCGTGGAAGGCTTTTCGGGAGCCAATCATACGGTTCTAAGGGAGGCATGTGTTGGAGAGGTATTTATGGAGGATTTCTAATCATCTGAAGACACACACACACACACACACACACGCAACTGCTTTAGGACCAACACACTCTGGACTAAGGAGCCACTTGGAGGTCTCTTAGTGGCACAAAAGAAACAATCTTTCACTCTCTTGCCAACAACTTAAGGGAGAATAGCAGGTTAAACACACAACATGTTCCCGCTTTCGCTTGCCGTTTGTTTTGTCAAGTGTTCAAAACATGCCTCCAACAGCACCAGAAGGAAATTAATTTTTCCCTGCCGACAGGTTTTTTTAAAACACACACACACACACACACACACACACACACACACACAATGTTAGACTAGCATTCTGTTATTTATTGCTTAGCCCAGCCTTCCACTCCCAGCTGAGTGCAATTCAAAGAAACAAATCAGACTGGCAAAAAGATGTCCCAGCATGGAATGTTCCCGTTCAGGATTCCAGCCAGCCACTTTCTTTTCCTGGGATATTCCATTCCGTCTTCTGATCACAATGAGCTTGCTCAATCTTCACTGGACTATTCTGAGTTCTCAACACCGGCCCAAAGAATTTTTCAAAGTATTTTTTCTACTTCCGCAAACCTTTGGGCTTCCCTGCGAGGCCGGTATCACCCAGTTGTGCATGGATGGTGCCATTTTGGATACATAAGGAGCCTCACCTGGGTAACATCTACACTATATATATGAAGTACTCTTAAAGCAATTTAATGGTGACAGCTCCCCCACCCAAGAAAGAATCCCGAGAACTGTAGTTTGCTGAGGGTGCTGGGAATTAGGGATTCTTTGTGGGGGAAACCAGAACTGTTAAAGTGTTAAAAATGTGCTTTAAATGTATGGTGTATACGTGAGATTGGAAAATGAGTTCGCTATTAGTATACAGGAGGTTTGCAGAAGGAGAGCCAGCTGCAATCTCTGCAATGCACACAGGACCTACTCCTGTATTGCGTTTCCTGTGAGGACACCAGACTGTTTCCTCTTAATGGAAATGACAAAGAAGAAGAAACTCACCCAACAACACTCAGAATGAAGACAAGTTTTTAAGCTGAGGCTGGATGCCGTAGCAGACATCTTGCATTGGAAGGGGGTTGGACCAAATGATATTTTGGGTCCTTTCCAATGGCAAAGATCCCATAGTTTGGTCACTCACCCTAACCCCTGTAACTGGCACTGGTTCTCCACGGTCTCAGTTCAAGGGAGGTCCTTCTCAGACCCTCAACCTGAGATGAGACCAGTGATTCAACCCAGGAACTTCTGTATGAAAAGCTTAAGGTTATAACTGAGCTGTGGGCCCTGAACTACAATACATTGGGTTGTATCAAATGTTAGTCCTGCTCAGAGTGGACCCAATGGAATTAATGGACCCAAGTCAGTCATGCCTGTTAATTTCAATAGTTCTACTCTGAGTAGAGCAAGCACTGGCTGCAGTCCTAAGAGCCATAGGTTTGCTGTCCCTTTTCTAGATGACCAACCATGTTAAACCACAAAACTTGGATTTAAACCAGCTGGATCCTCTCAGTTCAGCATCTTAAATGCAAGTAAATTGACTTAAATGAGTTTACAGCAGGCTGTAGGAGAATATCCATTTCTATAGAAATAATGTTTTGCTGTTTTAAGGCAGAAAGCAAAAGGAGTCCGTCTTAAATTCGAAGAAAAAACTTACAGAATTTGAAGGGGAAATAATATAAAACTGCTTGAACAACACAATGTACACCACACAAAGAAAGATCTGGGTGATGAAATAGTCCGACCACAGCTCCAATTACTCTGCCTACGGACAGATCTGTTTTTATCAGGTTCTTTCTGCTCTTCACTAAGGGTGAAGACAGACAGACATTCTAAAGTGCTGTGGAAAGTGGTCTGAACATAAATGTTCTTGCCCTGAAAGCCAGTTTGTTTTTAAAATGTGCTGTCTGGAACTGTGCTGTAGTGGAGAATATTGCATCATAACAGCCCCAGTAGCTGCAATGAGACTTCAAAATATGCAGGCAGCTGTGTGGATCCATTATACATTATCGCCACACATATGCAGAGATACATAGATCAAAGAGCAGCAGAACATATAATACCCAGGGACTGCAATCCTATCTATAGTATCCTGCAAGTAAGCTCCAACTTCTGACTATATAGGCTTAAGCTAGCAAAACAGCCTTAGCTTTAAACAAAAGGTTCTTGGAAGCTGAACTGCAACCCTTAGCTTTTTAATTCAGAATGGAAACAATCTTCCACAGGTGTGTTGTCATTTAAACTGCTAACCCAAAGAAGGAATCCTGCCAAAGAAAAGAAATATCCAACCTCCTCTTATTTTCCTCATTCTCTGACCTCTATGCTCACAAACCTGAAAGCTTCATTATCACTTTACTCATTTGTCATAGCAAAGAAATTCCCACAGTCACCTGGACCGTCTGGCAGATGATGTCATCATTCCTGCTCTGAAAAAAATGTCTTGGACCTGCACTCCTCTGCTCATTATGGCACTGCTGCTCAGTCTTGGACTTGAAAGGTCTATGCCTTCATGACTTTTCTGATATAAATTTGGCCTGAAGTTTTGGGTCTTCTATCACCGCTCTTATTTCTCAGGTATTGAGCCTAACTAGGAGCACAGCATGAGTATTCAAAAGATGAGCTGGTAAAACTGGGTTTCAAAGGCCATCAAATTGGACACCATAGGATTAATGTTTATAGTCTACAAAAACCTGCCTGCTGCTCTTAAACAGGAACTCTTTATGTCTGGCTGTTAACCAGA